TTCCGACCATGGATGTGTAGTTGTTTCACGAAATCGTTGCGTTTTGAGCCTAAAATTGACGAAAATAGGTATGTCGGAGCGTACGGCCCAAGCTTACGACCAAGGAACTTACGTCCGTAATCTCCGTTTGTGGCCTTGAGCTTACGGCCATGGGTTTACGACCGTAAACTCCAGGTTAATCGTAAACTTCTGGTTGACCTTGAACTCAAATTTTGGACAAAATAACTAATTTTTGGGCTAAATTTAAATCAATTGAAATATTATTTGCTCAAATATCTTTCTTTTCTTACTTGGTATGTTTTGGTGCAGATCAAATGGCAAGTTTACAGTTCACGGACATGCATAACTTGGCAATTATACTGGCAGATCCTCTGGTTGCCCATGGAGAATTCAGGTCGATGATTCATGGTTTGAGAGAATGTTGTCTGGCCTCCGCCATCACCATGAACACTATGGTCTATCAGAACATCATAAGGGAGTTCTGGCAGACTGCCAAGATGAAAAGAGATGATGATGGAGCAGTGACTGTGGATGCAATCGTTAAGAGATGCAAGGTTGTAATCACTGCGCAGTTCATTAGAGAAACGTTGCTGATCAATGACTTACCTAGTTTTCTCACTGAGATCGGGATTAAAGACGCTCAAAAGATTCTAAAAAAGATGGGGTATGAAGGTGACTCTCCTCCTACAGTGAAGAAGCCTCTGCCACCTTATTGGAGATGCATCTCCGGCAGGAGGTCTGGTGCAGATGAAATATCTCTGAGGAACACTGGAGCTATTGTTCTCTTGCTGCAGGGATTGACTTCAACTTTTCGAGGTTTATCCTGGACAAGTTCGTAGTCAACATCAATGCTATAACTCGGGATACCTTCTTGATGTATCCCAGGTTCATTCAGCTATTCATCAACAAACAATTTCCTGATATGGTCAAGGAGGTAGATACACTTGATATGAAGTCCTTAGGCCCTCACACTGTTGGGCTCATCAAGAAAAATCAAAAGGGAAAGGTCATCTTTTAAGGATTGTATCCACTTGTAAAATTTGGAAGATTTGCTGAGCCAAATGAGGCATCCGAGTCTCATGGATCTTCTGACAAAATATCCTCTGAGCCTACTTCATCAGAAAAAGTTATTTCAGAAGAGGATGTGATCACGATGTCAGATCAAGAAAAGGAAGAGACAATTGCTCCCGATGGTTCTGTAGCTGAGGAGCATGACCTGCAATCAGTCCAAGTCGAAAGTGACTACAATGAAGGGTCTTCTAAGAAAGCGACTAAGACTGATCAGTATGAAGACCTTGATCTTAAAGGCTTTGATAAAGATGAGATTCCGACTAACTTTGGAAGTAATGAAGACTTTTTGTCAAATGTCAATCTCAACACACTACTTGACAATATCAGTGATGTTGCTCATCCAGCAACGGAGATAAGGGACTCTGATGACGTTCTCGAGTCAACACCTGCTAGCGATCAAGTGGTTGATACGACAACTCCCATGGTGACAGTGTTATGGATTCCTCCCCTTCATGTTGTTTCACCTACAATTGAACCACTTCAAAGTGATGATTCAACAATCCAGACCTTACAACCTCCATCAAAGAGAAGAAGATGTGATCCTAGACACGGGCTTCTGGGTTCTGACTTATCTCAAGGCCTGCCAATTAATCCAACAACTACCCCTGCTATTGTCTAAACAGAACCTTTTATTGAAGGTCCTAGCACCATCTTTGAGGTTGGTGGTTCCTCTGCTCAAGCAGGATTCTCTTCTCCTAGGGCAGATCTAGATGGTGCCTCTGTACGGCTAGCCATGCATCTAGCTCAGGAACAAACTTCAATACCTTCTTCTATAGCTAAAGGAATTTCTTTTAGACAAGGTCATTCAGGAGAAGATGATTCAGTTATTGATGAGCTTCAAAAGAGAGTAAATGTACTGGATCAAAAGAACATAGAGCTCAGTATTCAAGTCAATGATCTGTTGAGCGAGAATGTAAATATGAAGATTCGAGTTTCTGATCTTCAAGAGGATAAAGCTCTGAAGACCAAGCAGATTTCTAACCTACAAAATCACTTTAATTGTAATAACGTAAATTTTCAAAACAATTTTTCATTTTTAAATCATATTTTCAATCACCAAAACAATATCAAACAAACTGTATCCAATGTCATCATAACAAACAAATCCCAGAATCTCAAAAGATCTCAATACATAAATCCTCTCAGTGTGTACGGATCATGTCGGCGCCTTCCCACGGTCCTCGCTAGTACCTGAAACACACAACATAACAACTGTAAGCATAAATGCTTAGTGAGTTCCCCAAAATACCACATACAACACATACGCCTTTCCAGGCCATAACTCTGTGGGACCTTCCGATCCAAGTGTCTCAGGGGACTTCCGTCCCGAATCCTAGTAAACCTTCCGGTCCTACCCATATCGACCTTCCGGTCCGTAACCTCTTGACCTTCCGGTCCATGTCCTCTTGACCTTCCGGTCCATATCATCTTGACCTTCCGGTCCTAATATACATAGCATACATAACGCATACATATCACGTATTAGCATATAGCACATACATCTCATAGCATATAAGACCTTCCGGTCACACATGGGTACCCTTCCAGGTACAGTATGGTGAGAATACTCAACTCGGGTGTCTCGGATAGTCACGCACATGAGAACACTCATGTACCCCCGCCGAATCACATAAACAATACTAATAAATAATGGCTCTCAAGGCTATATTAAATCCATTCCTACAATCCTACAGAAGGGTAAAAGACCTTTTTACCCCTCCCTGACCAAAAAGTCCAAATGTTGACCAAAACCCTAAAAGTCAACGAAAGTCAACCCTTCGGGTTACGTTGCGCGTACCAAATCAGTACGTTGGGCGTACCCGGCGACTTCACATAATCGGGGAACGCGAACCCTTACGCTGCGCGTACTAGGATTATGCCCCACATAACTCCCGGTTTCATATTCCTTTTGATTTTGGGTCTTAAACGGTTCAGACACACGTCCAACTTTCAGATCTGACTGTCTCTAAGCCTCTTAATCCATAAAGTTGGTGACTTTAAGCCTTTACATGGCTGTAAAAGTCACCAACACCCATATCATTCCATTTCCAACACTTAAAAGCCCATAACTCAAGCATGACTCCATAATAACGACCAAGTTGGGATTTTTATGGATCTACAGCACATATATCATTGAAATGGGATAGATCTAGGTCCATGGAGTCCCTTTTGTTCATAAAATCTCCACCTTTGGGACTTTAACCGTAAAAATGGACCATGCAACACCAAACCAAAATAAAGAGGAAAGTTCTAAGCTTTATACCTCTAAGTGAAGCTCCTCCCTCTGAAGAACTCAGATCCAAGCTTGAACTGCAAACCCTAGCCTCCACAAGCACCTCCCCTTCTTCTTCACTAATACACAAAGGCACTTTTAGCTCAAAACACTCACACACAAGCTTTAGGACGAAGGAAATACTCTATTAGGGTTTCACTCTCTGAAATGGTGGCTGAGGATAAGGCCTTAGCACTCTTTTTATAATACACAAGCCACAATTTAAGGTTTGCATCTGGGCCCGCTACGCCCAACGTAACCCTGGGTACGCCCAGCGTACCTAGGCGAGTCCGCGTCCAACTTAAGCGCATGAGTACGCGCAGCGTACTCTCCAGTACGCCCAGCGTACTCATTTGCAATATTTTCCACTCAAGGGCTAATTTTGACAGCTTGACAAAAGAGAAGGGGTAAATAGTTGTACCTGAATTTCGGGATGTTACAATTCTCCCCACTAGAACCAGACTTCGCCCTCGAAGTCTCATGTTGAAAACAACTCCGAATGTTGCTTCCGCATCTCCGACTCCGACTCCCAAGTCAACTCGGACACCTTCCGATGTTGCCAATGGACCTGAACCAGGGGCACCTCCTTGTTCCTCATAACCTTGATCTTTCGATCCAAGATTGCGATTGGTCTCTGAGCATAATTCAGGCTCGCATCCACCTGAATGTCCTCCAGCGGCACCAGCGCCGACTTGTCGGCTATACACTTCCTCGGCTGAGACACGTGGAAGGTATCATATATCTTACTTATTTCCGCAGGTAGCTCCAACTGATATGCTACCCTGCCCACCCTCGCGGTCACCCTGAATCACTACTAGAAAAACAGCCTTTTACGACGCGCAAATAATGACACACACTGATAGAGGACGCGCATTTGTGTGTGCCCTTAAAATTAATGTCAAAATTCCAAAATTCGAAGGATAGAGGACACGTATTTGTGCGTGCCCTAAAATTATTGTCAAACAAAACAAAATTAAAAACACGGAAAGCACTTACTTTAAGTGTGTGTCATCTACAAATGTCGCTTTATATTTTTTTCACTAAACGCGCGTTTTTAAAGAGGGATCTCTAAAAATCTAAAATTTTGAATACCCCGCTTCTACACTCTCTCCTCTGGATAGCCTTATCTCTCGTAAAATCACACAGAGCCATTCTCTCCCCCCTTTCTCTCTCCCTCTTACCCTAGACACAACCACTGACCTTCATCAGATCTATCTTCTTCTCCCCAGCCGCCACCAACAAACCACAACCTTATTCATTACCCTAAAAACCATACTATTCTTTCACCTCTCGTAATCTCTCTCATAACACTTAGGTTTTTGGCAATGAAAAAAGTTGACCCCCTACTCCTTTGATATCTTCTAATTTCTTAATGTATATAGGTTAAAATCAACCATTGCAGTAGAGCATCTTCTTGTGTAGTGTTTAGAGGGAATGGAAATCCCCAAAAATTTGAAACCCCGCATCTTCTCCTTCCCTTCGTATCCTTCTTTGCCCTAATCTTGCTTCTTGACGCTATCATCTTCTTTCTCCCCACATTGGCTGTTAGCTTTATACTTCCCATTCCCAATTCTTAATACCCTATCTCTATTTAATTGAAAATATTTTCCCTTTAGTCTAGACGTCTACTTTTCCGCCTTAGACAATGATTACAACAATGTTGGATGAAGCTGCTCACCACCTATACATATCCCTTTGCCACCACGTTCTCATGTCACCGACTTTCCCCATTGGCTACATATTTTGTCCAGTTGAATTGAAGGCTAAAGGTCTTGATTTATTATTCATCTCCGGCTTCAAATTAACACTTAATGCTTGGATTCTAATTAACTCTCTCGTTTTTTCTTTTAGGTTTTTGCTGCGCAACTCTATTCTTTGATATCCAAGACTTCTTGATTCACATACATCACGAAACAAGATGGTTTTGCCAAAAGACGTTGATCTGCTTAACCCCCCAGCTGAGTTGGAGAAGAGGAAGCATAAGCTCAGACGACTTGTTCAATCTCCGAACTCTTTCTTCATGGATGTCAAGTGCCAGGGTTGTTTCAACATAACAACCGTATTCAGCCACTCTCAAACGGTGGTGGTGTGCGGAAACTGTCACACGGTGTTGTGCCAGCCGACTGGTGGTCGTGCAAGACTCAATGAAGGATGCTCTTTTAGAAGGAAGGGAGATTGATCCTATTACTTGCTTTTATGGCTAGTTAATCAGAAGTTGCTTCGGTGCTATTACTTAAAAAGTTACAAGTTGAGTATTTTATTCTAGTTTTTCTTGTTGGACCCCAGCCATCATCTTATAAAATTAGGGCTTGTGTTTGAATATTTTGATTGAACGACAGGTGATTCAGACCGTCTTCTCACTGTTAAGCTTCTATTAGGTATAGATTTTTAAAAGTTTCTTTGAATTTTTTGTTGGTGACTGCTAGTATCGGATCCAAGAATGGATTTTTAAACTTCCATGTTCATGTGTATGTTTTCATAAAGCATATTCTACTATGTTTATCAGTTGGTTTCTTTTGCCTATCATTTCAGTTACTGTTAAGGATTGACTGTAATAGAAAGGTATTGGAATGATGTATGTGATCTATAAGTGCTAACATTTGTTCAAAGAAAACACATACATATAAAAAAAGAATAGGTTTTCGTGAGATTATCTTAGTATTTTTCAAGGTTTTCATAGCATGCTGAATGTTTATAGTATCACATTTGTATTGATAATTTCATGAATGCGTATATAATTGTAATACATGTAACGTTACATCTGTTAGTATACATGACGTGAAAGAGGTAACAGTGTATTTTTTGGTTCTGATTTTTCAAGTTCTGATGCAGGGGTATTTTAGCCAAGTGCATAGTTGGCAGAGATTCAATTTGTATGTTTGTAAATTTCTGACTTCGATCATGAATGGTATGGACGGTACTTGGATCTTTTATCATCAGAAGATGGTTATATAAACTTTTTAGTAAAGGGAATTTTGGTCAAACTTGGAAACTAACATACAAAAGCCTACTTTCTGGTTGTTGTTGTTCTATTGGATTAGTTATTTGGTGGTTTTCCTTTTTCAACATTTCAGGCCAGGTATCTTCAAGATGCTCGTCTTGCAGTTTTCGAGGTCTCGTCTGCTCGTCTTGCTGTGTCCGAGGTCTCGTCGGCATCTTCAAGACTCCAGAAGTCTCTCTAGCTCTCTCGCATGTATTCGATCTCTTAAAAAATTTAAATGCATATGTGTTAAAGTGACAGCCACATGATTTAGTATTGTGTATTTACATTTGAACTTTGTCATCTCAATGGTTAAAAGATATAGAAAGACTTTTAATGCTTTTGTCTTTTTGTATCTCTACAAACGGAAGCAAAATTCATTTAATAATCCTAATATATGTTTTATTTATTTATTTATTTATTATTTTCTTAGTTATCAATTATAATACTTATTAACTTTTAATTAGTTTTTAGGCTAATTATTATAGATGATAACATAGTTAGTCATATATATATAACTAAACTCTAAAGGAACGAGTGAATGGGTAAATGTTGCAATAAAAATATGTGAAGGTACACCAAATATGAAGTTAATATAAATACAAAACTTCATATTTAATAGTCTTGTTTATATATATATATATATATATATATATATATATATATATATATATATATATATATATATATATATATATATATATATATATATATATATATATACTAGGTAGGTTTAAGGCTCGTGCTAAGCACGACCCATGAAGGGTATTTTTAGTATTTCCTGAAAAAAAACATAAGATCATAGTGAGAAACAAACCCCAAGATACATTGAAGCGCTCATTCTTGGATTTTATAAAAGGCTAAGTGCAACAAATAGCAATGAACTTCCATTCCTACTTTTCCCTATTAATTCTATATATTAAAAAACGTAATGGTTTTATTGGTAAACAAAAATAAGTGCATTGCTATTATGCGTACAAAATAAAGTATGTTGCCTGTGATGGTACAAAGGATAAAGCATTGCTATTTTTTGGAATTTACATATGTACAAACAACCATAATAAAAATTGCATATATTTGCATATTTGGTGGAATTGTCAACATATAATGTTCAAACATGTAAAAAGGAAAGTAGGTTGTTGTTGTAGACATAACAATGAAAGTGCATTGTAAGAGGTTACATCTTCGCTTTCAATAACAAGGAAGAACAATCACAAACTTGGTCATATCTTACCTGGTTAAAAGACATTGCAACAAGCTTCATTTCCATGAATCATAATCTGAAACCTTTATAATAACAAATGGTTGTCAATTATTGACGATCGAAGATTAGGGTTCTGATCGCTGTCAACTGTTGATGGAGGAGGTGGGAGTAGATTGTTACTTCATGATTTTGGAACTAAATAACTCAGAAAACACCATAAAGTAAATAAGAGCTAACAACATGTAGGAATGCTTCAACAATTAGTAGATTTTTCCACTTATCTTTTAAACTTAGATGTCATCCCATAAACCAAATTCAGATTCCAGCCTGGTCTAGCGAGTCAAAACCTCAATCCTATCCTTAAAATAATTTATTGTATATATGCAACAAGAAGGTGCTGTTTGTTTTGGAAGTGGTTAAATGTCTTTTGTCTTTTTCCAAGTTTGCGGAAGAAGACGTGCACTTGCAAAACGTCTACCCGCCAGAAGGGAAAAGTGCTCAAAAAGTACTTTTGTAGAAAAACAAACGAGGCCGAAGTGTCGGCCACTTAATGTGAAAAAAGAAACATGGCCTTAGTCGTATGTAATATGTCGCAGCATAAAAGCTTTTGACAATATTACAAATAATTGTTATACAGCTAAAAACTCATTAGTTTAGTTTATCTAAATAAATTTAAAACTATTAGGAATAAATCAATTATAAGAATGTAAATCACATAAAACCACCAACCTCAATTAGGACACTTCCATATGAAACTTTTGTAGACTGTAAGCTACTTGAGGTTATTCATACTTTAATGCGGTAAATGTAAACAAGTCCATTAACAAACAAAAGGAAAGAACTTTTAAGCAGTCAATGTCTAACATTAAAACTTGATTGTATACTTGGGTCCACAACTTCGGACAAGTTTAACCCATTTGATTCATTTCACTTTTCGTTAAATTTACATGTTACTACTTTGAACAATTGGAAAAAGTATAACGCAAATGAACTCATTTTTAGGTTAACATGTCGGGACTACATATATTGCGATTTGCGAGTAAACATAAATATCAAACATGAGATTCACATATAGTTATTTGTCCTCAAAACTCACTCCTTCAAGTGTCAAGACATTTTTGACATCATTCATATAAAACATATATTAAGACATGTTATGATAATAGAAAAATAGCTACTGTAATAGGTTAAAACAAATTATTCCTATAAAACAAATTATATTTTTCCACATTGCTTCTCCAAAATATTTATACAATAGGAGCCACAAGTTATTCTATAGGAAATTGTAGGATACGATTCAAATTAGATCCCATAAATATATGTACTAAATTGGAATAATCACTTATACATCTCATTACAATAATTTGGAGAGACTATCTAGAAAACTAAAAGCAAAGATGCAGAGTATATAGATAAGAATTTAAACATTTTTGACAAAGTCAAGCATTGAACAATCAAAGTAATTCATGAACCCTATTTTAACTTATCAATAGCATACCAAACCCAAAACATTAATCCACCAAAATCCATTTTGCAAAATCACAAAAAAGATCGAGATTTTTAGGGTGTAAAATTTTTTTTTCACCGCAATTGAAAAAGAAACTACACATTTTAAGGAGATAAAGAAAACCCACCACGGCTTGAGTAAAACCCTAACTTCCAATTAATGAAATCAAAAATTAAAGGACCATACTTTAAAGCATTCAAATATAATCATCAACAACCTTTGATTGGTGAGAAAAACGACTCCCCATTTGATGGAGTCCTATGTATCAACCAAAGATTACCTCCACAGTTATGGTTCGTAAGATTAAATATAGCAGGTCTTAACTTTCTGATTTCGGGTTTGATTCCTCCACACAATACGAACTGACAGGATATGTTTCCTTCAGTTTGTGAAAATAGGCCTAAATCATTTTTGGTTTCTCATAAGTGTATGGTTGAAAATTGGCAAGAATAGCAGAGAACGAGACACCATAATCGATCGAATCATCATTCATACCAATCCTAGTAGGCATCCTAGATTAGACCCATATGCTTCCTCGGTTCCTCCTAATCACCCTTTGTACCTTTCTCTGTGATAGGCTTTGATTATAATGAAGAAACAAACCAGAGTTTATTCTTTTTGTTGAAAAATTGGTAGGCTTATTCTTGTTGAGGGAACCGATACACGTGACGGAAAGATGGAGGGTATTTCGAATTGCAAAAAGAAGAGTGGTAGAATGGATGCGACGATCAGAAAGTTTAAATTAATTGACATTTTGATAAATTGCGTCGTTCCAAGAGTGGGTTAAGTGGAGGCATTTGATCCCTACGAATTTGTTCTAAACGGCTGGAGAAAGGAAGGGCTTATATATATATATATATATATATATATATATATATATATATATATATATATTTATCTTTCTATTTTTCTATAATAATTTAGTGGGTTATGCTTAGATTTTGGTAACATAAACCTGTAATAGTTAGAAATTCAAAACAAAGTTATATTATTAATTGTCATTTGTTATTTCCGTTAAAAGTTTGTTTTCGGGCCCCTAGTTTTAATTTTTGTGTTCCGCCCCTGTTGGTGGTGGATTACCAACAAAAGAAAAGATATCTGCTACTTCATCTTCTTCCAATAAAGTTGATGATGGACCTCTAATTTATGTGACATGATTTTTTACCCTTTTTCTATTATCTAAGCATGTTATTGCTTCCATAGTATTATTTGTGTAAAAATAGGTCCCACCATCTATTACACACTCTTGAGATTTTGGGGTATTCCCTGTCCAAACTATATCCTTGATCATTTCAAATTTAAGTCGTTGTTGATGTTTTATAAGGCAGTACGACCACCACCATAAATG